ATATGCCGCGCTTCTCAGACTCATTCCAGTGCGTCCAAATACCATGGAGCAAAACAGCCAAGAAGACATACCACACGATCCTCTTCGCCAAATTTTGCGTTTCCAGACTACAGCGCAATCGATGCGCTTTGACTTTCTCAAAAGCTTCGAAGTTGTAATCGTATTTGACGAGCGCCCAACTCGCGGTATCGTATTTCTGTTCGAGCGTGAACCCATGGTACGCCACTTCTCTTATGTCTCCTCCTTCTTTTTCATGCGTCCCCGGCAGAGTTAGTAGTTTCCATGGATCAACAGGTCTTGGGGTGCCTGAGTCGTTGTCCCTCCAATGAGCTTGATCTTTCCATGCTTCTTGTTCGACAATCATCAGCTCCGAGTTGGAGGGGATAGTTGTGCGAAGGCGGTCGGACCATTCCGGTCCGAAGTCCCTTTCGAGGGTTGACGGAGTTGGTTGCGATGAGTACTTCATGGTTGAGCTGATCAGAATGAAGAATGCCGTTGAGTGGGATCTCACACATTTGGATGAAGCACATGATAGAGGTGATTAGAGTCGGCTTACAACCATTCTAGGTTTTGGGTGAAAGAGAACGCCGGTACTGAGCGACTATATTGATCAAGGCATTCACCCTTCAGTGGTTAGTCGTTCCACGCGTTGCGCTGTGTGGAATTGCTAGATCGGATCAGATGCGCCCATCGCGACTTGTGGGAATGTTGAGTCTGAACACAGTAGTGCTGCGAACGAGTCACCCGAGGCGCGTTGACGAGCTCTTGGTGGTTACACATCAACACTGCGGAAATCAAAGTTGTGGTGTCGCAGTGAACCCCGCGCTCGGCACACCTTCCTCACTCGCTGGTGGGGTGAAAGGGACCCAGTGGGGCGGACCCTTTCCGACGTCATGTTCGAGCTGGGCGCGCTCCACCAACAATCCGAACAAACGGACCTCTGTCGTCCGGACGCATTCATAAGAAGGCCGAATCGGCCATCTTGAAGCTCCCAACTCCTCTGATCACACGCCACAAGCCTCATTCAATCCATTGTCGCCAAAAGAAAGGAAAATTAGTCAAAATGGCAGGAGACGCAGAAGACCGCGCCGCGCTCGTCAACCGACAGCTCCCAGAGATGACCCTGTCAACGGCAGACAACCCTCTCACAGCACCCAGACCACCACCAGAGAACCTGTCGACCGCAGAGAGAGCGCAGTATAGGTTCCAGGTCAAGGGCAATGCGATCAGTACGTGAACGCCTTTAGGGTAACCTCACCCATCTCCATCTCCATCCCCATCCACACACCACACACCTTAACCATCATCCTAACCACCACCCCAGTCACCGGCGGCGCCGGAACCCTCGCCCTCGAAGCCGCAGCCGCCCTCCTCGAACACGGCGCCACGGGCCTCGCCCTCTGGGACATGAACCCAGACCAAGCCTTCGAAAGCGTCAAGACCCTGCACTCCAAGTTCCCGCACGCGCGCATTATAACCGAAGCGGTCGACGTACGCGACGAGAAAGCCATTGCTTCAGCCGTCGAAAGCAGCGTAAAGGTACTCGGTAGCATAGACATGCTATGCTGTTTCGCCGGCGTCGTAGGCTGCACACACGCGATTGAGATGGCGGCAGATGAATGGCGGCGCACACACGATATCAATCTTACCGGCTCCTTCCTCTGCGCACAAGCTGTTGCGAAGCAGTTTCGTGCGCAGGGGACGGGGGGTAGTGTTACGTTTACGGCGAGTATATCTGCGCATCACACGAACTACCCACAGCCACAATGCGCGTACAATTCTTCCAAGACGGCGCTGTTGTCGCTGGCGAAGAGTTTGGCGGCGGAGTGGAGTAGCTATGGTATTAGGGTTAATTGTCTCAGCCCGGGGTATATGGACACGATATTGAATGATGGCGATGGATTGATTCGGGCGAGGAAGAGTTGGAATGACAGGAATCCGATGGGGAGAATGGGGCATCCGTGGGAGCTTACGGGGCCGTTGGTGTTGCTGTGCAGTAATGCGGGGAGGTATATTAATGGGACGGATATCATTGTTGATGGCGGGGCTATGGTCTTTTAAGAAAGGTTATCGTGTGCAAGGACATAATCCAGAAATGATTAGATTTGACCTATTATCTCTTTACTCATCATCCCCATCCCCATCCCCATCCATCCCCGGCGGCGGCGGCGGAATACTAAAATCCTCCAAACTCGCCCACTGACTACTCCTATACCCCCCAACCGCTTGCGTCATCCCAAACATAGGACTACTCCACCCCTCACCCTCCGCCGCGACCTTCTCCGGACTGGGGAAACTACTCGGTATAAACAACGGCGGCGGTTTCCCTGGCGAGATATTCGGCTGAGAACTAGCGATACGATGGGGTGTGGTGTGCGTGCTGGAGAAATTGCCGGTACGCTTCCGTCGGGGCGTGCGCTGCGTGATCTCATCCACGGTTGTGGCTTGAGAGGGGTGGTAGCCTGATGGTTGGTGGTTTGAATGGTTTGAATGGGATGCTGTGGGTAGGGGGAGGCGCGGCGTGGCGTTGTAGCTGAATGCGTCAGGGGCGGCGCGCATGCTTGAGGATTCGGGGGGTCGGGCGTTGATGTATTGGGAGTAGGAGAACCATTCGTTGTGGAGTTGTTGTTCGGCTTTGCTGGAGTGGGACTGTTGGGTTTCGTGATCGGGGGATGGGGAACGGGGGACTTGTATGGATTCGCTGTTCAGGTCTGCGGACTGGTGGATGGATGTCGAGGTGGACTGCGGTACATGTGACTTGCGTGATCGTGGAGGCGTTGGGTCTGGTGGTGGTGCATCGTCTTCTTCTTCCGATGAATCGTCGTTGATGATCATCGGTGTGGATGGGCAGGTTTCTTGATTGAGGTCTTCGATGACTGGAGGGGTGGAGCGGAGCTGCTCTTCTGGTAAAGGTAATTCTCCTTCACTACTCTTGTTAACCTCGCTCTTGATCGGCCTCTCTTGATCTGACGGATTGAACGGGACTGTGGGCAATATTGTGGCGTCGTCATCTTCGTCCTCGTCCTCATCATATCCGGGCTCCTGCTTAACAGCGACGGACTCGGCTACAGTAGAGGACGATATGCCACTAGACTGCTTTTGCGGGTCGCCAAGTTCGGGAGAAGGTTCTTGGTCACCTCGAAGCTCAGGTAGGTCGCCTGATTCTTGTGATGATGCCGAATCCTCAATAACTTCCTCTCCGTTTGCATCAGCACATGCCTGGTCGATCCTGTTAAGTACTACCTGAGTATCAGCGCCAACGGCTTTCCCAGTCACAGCTTCACGGCACCCGGGAAAGGCTTGCGCCTCCCCATCTCCGCGACGTCCCATAGTGGGCAGATCTTCTTCTATGACACCATCATCCTCGTCTTCAGAGTCTTGAATCGTACTCTCAAACTTCCTCAGTGTTGGTGGTGGTATAGGCGTTTTCGAAGGCGTCTTGAAAGTACACTGCTTACGTTTCGAAGGCGTCTCTGGTGCAAGGATTGGGTTATCCGAGCGCTGCTTGAGAGGAGAGCGGTGCAGCTTTTGTGGAGAGACCTGAGTCGATAGTGGCGAGTCGGCGGGTGACTGCGAGGAGGGAATCTCGCGAATACGGCGTTTCTCTGGAGTTGATAAAAGGCTGAAACGGGCTTTTCGGGTTCTGGCCTGCCCTTGCGGCGCATAGAAAGCTTCTTCCGTGTCTGCAACTCGTAGTCTGTTCTCTCGTCTCGTTGCGCGGGTCGTTCTTGTGACAGGCGCTTCGATGAACTGTGTGGGTTTGTAGCTGTCTTCGCAGTCCTCGTCCATCTCGTCTTCCACTGACTGCACCACCAACTCCGGGGTGTCTTGCGAGTTTGCCGTGGGCTCCTTCTTAATGTGTTCGTCATCCGGGTTGTGCTCCATGTAGTTTCCAGCTTCATTTGCACTGTTTTCCCCTCCAACACCATTCCCCTCGACACGATAAAAACCCTGTTGGGCAAGGCGCTGCGCAACAGCATCGCCGTAGGTTTGACTAGCCCGGTCTTCTGCCTCAACATCGCTCAATATCTCGTCTAGATCCTCATCCGACATTATCTCCTGCGGCCGCATGCCTGGTATCATCTGCGTCAACGTGCGCTGCTTTCTGTCGCTCTTCGCTTCGCTTTTGCCACGCCCACCCCAACTCAGTCGCGAGCTCTGTTTCACGGGCTTAAAGCTAGGCTCTTCGTCATCCGGCATAGGCTTCCTTCCGTCGACCAGTTGTGTCATTGTTGACTGTCGCCGTAATGTGCGCTCGCGGTTGGTCTTGGTGGCTGTCGCAACGTTGTCGTCATCGGATTCGGCTTCAACGCGCCTCGAGCGGCGAGGATTCTTGGGCGTGGCTGCCGTTCGTCGGCGTTTAGATGTAGGCTCCGATGTTCCCTTCTCTCCATCATCTTCTTGCTGCACCCCGTCGCTGTTCCGCTTCTTCCCCTTCCTCTTCGTCTGCCTCGCAGGCTGCTCTTCTTCTTCCTCATCCACCTCAGCCTTGACGGAAGCTCCCCCGTCTTCCAAATCCTCTTCAAGATCCGTGTCGCTATCCTCATCCGAGTCAGCGACAACAGGAGTACCCTGCCTCCTCATCTTGTCCGGCAGGAAGACCATTTGCCGCTTCCCATCGTGTACCGGAGTCGAGCGCCGGCGCACAGTCTTGCGCTTGTGTGGAAAGCGCACCTGCTGGGGCACTCTCTTGGAATAGTAGACTTTGTAGTCGGCATCTTGGTTGCTCGAACGCGTCTTGGGCGTCATGGTGGGTGGGTGGAGCAATCGATAAGTTGGGGCGTTGGAGCGTTGGTCGACGCGACGCGTTGAGGGGACTAGCGCGACGGCGAGCATGACAGGGGTGTGCGTCATCACCACTTTCGCTTCCTGGCGTCTCCTACTCACTCGTGCATTGATCATCAACACCATACATCAGGCAAGTGAGCTCTCGATTTGATTGATGTTCACACATAGATCTCGGTGAACTTGCGGAACTTCCTCCAAAATCATTATGCGCGATGAGTTCACAGCCATCAACCCTGATCATCGGGGCTGGAGTCTTCGGTGTCTCCACTGCCTTCCACTTGGTCAAGAAGTACCCCGAAGCACATGTACAACTCATTGACCGGACGCACTACCCTTGCCCTCTTGCCGCATATTGGGACTGGAACAAAGTCATCCGTGCGGACTACGGCGACATCTTCTACATGGAAAAGGCGTTGGAAGCCATACAGTACTGGCGACATGATCCACTCTTCAGCCAGTTCTACCACCAGAGCGGTTTGATCAATATCGACAATACCGAACTGGGGAAAGAGATGTTGCAAAACTATGAGAAGCTTGGAGTTAAGGTTGATGCGGAGATGGCGAGCCCGGAGCATTTCAAGAAGATGTACGGTTCTTTCTACGATAACACCGATTTCTCTGAAGTTGGTGAAGTGTTCGTCAACAGAGACAGCGGGTGGGCTGAAGCTACCAAGGCTTTAACTGCTTACACTGACGCCGCGATTGAGGCAGGAGTCAATTACACCGCAGCAGATATTGACGTGTTGACCTTTGGCATTGATGGCGAATGTACTGGAGTTCTAACGAAAGGTGGTGAAAACATCACAGCAGATCGCATCATCCTCGCTACTGGTGCAGGCACCGCCAAATTGATCGCCGACAGTGCTCCGAGCAGAGGCGAGCTACAAGTCGACGGGCGCCTGGTCGCTGGAGCAGTAGTCACTGGCATCGTCAACCTAGACCCAAAGAAGGGGCAGCAGTATACCGAGATTCCAGTCACAGTACATTCTGTCTTACCAACACGAGGTGAGGGGACCGACCTCTACCGATTTTACTCTAACTGACAGAATCTAGGGGAAGTGATGCCACTAACAGCGCCCTTATCGGATCAAGATCCATACACAGTCAAGTTCTGCAGAGACGAAGCCTATAAGAACACCGTCAAACATGAGGCTTCAGGACAAGAGTTCTCTTCCCCGCCGAACGAGCCCGGTCAAGCGCAGAGGCTGCCGAACGAAGCTCTTAAGCAGCGGCTTGAACTCGTCAAGAACGGTATACTGGGTGAGCCTGGAAAGGACGTGAAATTCGACCAGTATCGTGTTTGCTGGTAGGCTACATCTCCGAACCACTACGATGAATCGGTCTAACAGTTCGTAGGGATGCTGTGACACCAAGCCAAGACTTCATTATCACTCCACATCCGCATTCTCAGAATCTGTATCTTGCGACAGGCGGCTCTTTCCACGGATGGAAGTTCATGCCCACTATCGGTCGCTACGTTGTGGAGATGCTGGATGGTACCCTAGACCCCTCTCTTGCCAAACGATGGGCGTGGGACCGCGAGAGCGAAGGCGGCGCGCACGCCCATCTACTGCCAACGCTTGATTTACGAGATCTATGAGAGGTGCAATGAGATGGTCGATGATAGCATGTCGCAACAAGTGAGTATGTGGAATCCCAGCTGGGGTATTAAACATTACAATTGAATCTATTTGAGATAACCAGTCTATGCACGACGTTCCATGTGAATAGCACGGCGTAGTCTGCTACACCCAATTCCTCCGCGTCTATATTCCAAATAACCCGCACCATGGTATCTTCAATCCCTGAAACGCCATCCCCAAACAGCAAAATACCGCGCCATTCCCCCGACCCCAGATATCGAACCAATCCAGTCTTGAATCCCATTTCAACCCACGAACCCCACACCTCACCCAAGCTCCATCAAATTGCCAACCCCCACCCAATCCCCCTCCTACCTCTTCCTCCCCCCACTCCGACTCCTCGTCCTCTCCGTACTAACCGCAACGCTCAGCCCATTCGTACTCGGCCTCTCACTCTCCGTCCTTGCCTCGAGCCCCTCACACCAAGCCCGTTCCTGCGCCTTCGTCGCCTGAACCCTACTCAGCGTCTTCTTAAGCGCACCATACAGATGCTGATTATCGCTCGAATCCAAATCAACCCAAAAGCTATATATACTCAGTGACTGATGATTCATATTCTTGAAGCGCCGAAGAATATATTGTCTTGCACTGAGTTCCGGATCCGATTCATTGCGTGTGTAATCCGGAAACAGTTTTTCCAGCGGTGCGTAGGCCATTTTGCTAACAAAACGCGTGAAGTTGTTGAGGATGAGGATGATTGTTGAGTTTGCGAAGCCGGGGCGGTTGACCCATTGTTCGAAGCCTTCGAATTCGTGGACGAGGATGGATTCCGAGGGGCGCTCGGGGCTGGGTTTGTTGTAGAGGGATACGTCGACGGTGAAGATGACGGCGGTGGCGTCTTCGAGCTGGTGGTACCAGCGCTCTTTGAAGTGTTGCGGGACGTAGCCTTTGATGTTGAAGAGGTGGATGTCGAGCTCGTCCCAGTCGAAGCGTGTCTCGTTGATGCCGCCGCCGGAGCGGGTTAGCCGGATGATGTCGGCTTCGCTGGGGACGTAGTCTTTTTCGGCTATGCGCGGCGCTTCTTGTGCGAAGTACGGCGCGTACTGTGGGAAGTCGATCTCGAAGTTGCGGACGTAGAGTTTGGAGAATTCGGGACACGACCATATTCTGGTAATGGCCTTGACAGCGTCGGAGGATATGCCGTCCTCTCTGGCGTCCAGCTCGTGCAATAAGATCGCGAAGTCGTGCGTCAGTTCGGCAGACAGTGTAACGCCGGTCTCTGTAAGCAAATTCGTGATCGAAGATATGAGCGATCTTACAACTTGGTAAACTGCGGGGCGGTACTTCAATCTTTCCTCCGTCTTGTCATAACCCTCGGCGAACTGCACTTTCAGCTGATGCATTATCAGCTCTTTGCCACCCTGTGGATTGCCTACAAGGACCAGCTTAGTCTCGTGCCGAAGGTTAGTAGCTTCTCTCTCCAAAGCACGATCTATTGCTTCGGACCGGTTGATTGCTGCCATGTGCTCGTACTCTTCGTCCGATGGTGTGATTGTTCCATCGAAACCGTTACGCGCAATCTTCATGTGGAACAACAGTCTCAGCCATTGGATAAATCGCGATAATTGCGCAAGGCTTGTAATGCAAGCGCCGTTTAATTTCGAGGATTGGGTGAGGGTCTTCAGATTTGCCGCATCTTCCTTCCTGATCTGGCGGCTCTTATGAAGCAGGATCTTTCGCTGCGCTTGAGCGGTACTGGCAGTCATTAGCATCGATTGTACGTAGGGGCGGGTTAGCAGCTCACCATTGACATGCCGCAAGTAACAAGTTCACGGCGTCATTCTGTCGTTGCGCAACCTGTTGCAGTCGTTCCATAGATCTACTAGCGACGCTGTATTTTAGTTTGGAAGCGACGTCGACAGCACCATGGTCCCGGTAGTCCAGACGCGCATTCAGTGCATCTACATGGCGTACCAGCAGCCCACAAGAATGCGCTAGCACGTCCAAGTCGGACACCAGTTGTGGATGGAGGTCGCTAATAGCATAATTGAGCCAGTCCAGGATGTTACCGAGACTAGACTTCAAGGCCGTTAGTTGCGCGATGAGGTTGATGGAAGAGCCATCGCTATCTCTCCAACGATTGTGGATCTGTCGCAAGCCGTCGATGTTCTGTCGCAGCTGGTCGCGAATCGTGCCGATGGCGCTAATCAAGGCGAACACCCTTTTCTCATCGTCCGCCATGGCGCAGTAGCGTAGCGTCGCGTCGCGTCGCAGCAAAACAAATGTCGTGGATCGATTGGGCGGCGCCGGATTGCTGAACAAGTGTCTGACTGTCAGGAATCGTTTGCGACTGACGGCAACGCTCGCGAGACCCCGCGCATTTAGTCAGAAACAGCCAGGATTAAGGTTGGCACTTGCGGATGATTGTCACAAGACAGAACACAACAAGGAAGTCATCAGCGCCAGGTCCGCGGGGGTGGATGGACGGCCTGCTTATAGGGATGGCCCTGGACCCGAGAAGATACCGCGAGCTTGGGGCGCGATGGGGCTGTCTGGCGAGAGTTGCACCGCGATCAACAGGGCGTGCTGACAGTGCGGGATTCCAACAACAACGGCTCGGCCTCATCGCGAGAACGAGCCATCAGTCGCAGCCGTGATCTCAACGGTGCGATAGCGCGTTTTGATGCCAGGGGAATCGCGGCCAGCGGGAAGTGTGGCGGTCCCTGATGAGTGATGCCGGCTAATTTGGGGCGCGGATGCCGAGCGGCGCAGTTCAATGTCAGGTACAAAACGATATCGTCTCCTGACTGCACAACCGCTTTGGGTTGAGCTGATATCGTCCGAGTTAGGCGTGTAGTATACGAAGAAGAGTCACAAAGTGGCCTTGTTGTCGCCATGATCGATGACTCCCCAGACCTTTCGGCTCATATGTGGCTAGTGCAAACGCCACCAAGCGAGAACTCTGTCGTCATCGTCCGATGAGACACCTAGGCATTCACTTTTCCGCCCAGCAAACATAAGCCGTATAAACGCCACCATGCCGACGCTGCGATTGTTCTACTAAACCTGACACTTTAAATATTAGCATCACATCATTAGTCGTCGAAGCCTTGAGCAAAAGCTAAGGGACGCGACTGCAGCATGGCGACTATCGACACGCTGCCGAACGAGATTCTCTCGTTGATAACGAGCCATCTTGAGCGACCGCGGGATTTACTCTACCTTTCTCTGGCAAGCCGCCGGTTGAGCGAGTTCGCAAAGCTCGATGGATGGAAAGCTTTGCTTAGAGGCCGCTTTGGCCTGAGCGGTCTGGACGCGGATGCCTACAACGCCGTCCACGGTGTGACAACACTATGCCGAAACTGGGATCGGAGAGGCCTGATCGCGAGATATCTTGAGCCAATAGAGAAGACGATGAGCATGAATACCTGGCGAGCCGAAAGATGGAGGGGTCCACAAGGTCAGACAATGGGGTGCCAGCCTAGCATTGACAGCTATGAAGAGATATATGGATCGTGGGGAGAAAGAAAAGAAGTATTGGCGTGGTCTGCAGGTACGCAGATTGTCATGCGGACTAAAGAGACGGGTGCGAACATCGAGAAGATCAGGCAACGCGAAGAGGGGCTCGACCAGGCGCCTGACCAGACGTGGAGGTATGACGCGTTCAGACACTTGAATACGTGGTTCACGTATAAGATCCCGGACAGCTCTGAAGGTCGCGACGACATCGTCAACTTGAAGTTGCTTCGTCCGCACCAACGGGACTTGGCCTCCGAAGATATCGTCTTCGGGACGGCATCAGGCCAGCTATCGCTACTCAGCGCCAGCCCTGATTTTGCAGAGACGCGGGTGCAACAGTACAATACTAACCGTCCTGACGTCTTTGATGAAACCAGGAAACGCGCCATCGCTGATCTTTCGATATCATCTTCGAGCACGCCCTTGCTAGCTACCGCACTCTCGGATACATCACTAGCGGTCTACCCTATCGATCGTCACAACTTCTCGGATCAGGCGATTAAACCCTCTTCCACAACAAAGACCGTATTAGACGGAAAACCACAGCGGAAAATATGGTCATGCAAGTTTATATCCGATGACGCGGTCGCCGTTGGATGGGGTCCTCACGCCGAACCTATCGAGGTCTACCACATTGGGCCCGGAGGCTTCGTATCAGAGCCTTTGCGTCGCTTCAATGTGGCCAGCGAGGGCCTGGCGCATTCAAGGCACACGGCGGTTTATCCTGTACTTCCTTTACCCAGCACATCACCGGGCGCATCGGAAGCAGGCCATACCTTCTTGTCTGGCGGCTACGACGGCATCGTTAGGCTGCATGACATGCGCTCACCACGCGGCTTCGAACAGATCTTCTGGGATCCAACGAACGATTCGCCAGTCTACTCTCTTGCCGCACAGGGGCGAGAACGCTTCGTAGCAGGTGTAGCTCTACACAGCATGATCAAGGTGTTTGACTTGCGCCTTTCAGGCTCGCACTCGTACCACTCTATCTCATTATCCAACAAGAAGCCCAAGCCAATAAACAAAACATTGTCGCGAGACTCAGCCACCAACACCATCGTTGATGGGCTGAAGAGCCAGACTCCGATCGTGAGTGGCGGCTGGAATCTCTACCTTACTCCCCGCACCACCCCGTCACGCACGGCGTATCGCGCCGACTACTCCCGCTTACGAGGAGATTCGCCCGTGTACAGTCTCTCGATTCCTTCATCTACCTCACAAAACCTGTATGCCGGCCTCGAAGGCGTTGTCGAGAGTCTCACATTCCATGGCGTCGCGGATACCCACCCAGATCCCATGCTCTCCCAATCTCTTGTCCGCCACAGTGCTGGTGTAGTCGACGTCCGCGCTTCGTACAACTCGGATGGTGGCGCACTACATCTGGGCATGTATGAACAGGGTACCGAGGAGGGGTTAGGTATGCAGTTGTTGGTGCAGGACGGCGTGACGGACAAAGTGACTGGTAAAGAACGCAAGGATAAGGCGGCGGCTAAGAGTTTGGATGAACGCTGGGTCGACTTGAGAGATGAGCAGGGTAGGTGGTCTAGTGGTGAGATACCGCAAAGGGAGCCGCCGCGTGGACCGCGAAGTGGTGGTCAAGGGCGAAGAAGGGACGGAAGAGCACGTTGATAAGTGCAGTTAGGACGTGTTGTATTGTGGGGGCGATGCCATCGCCAATTGTCTAGCTAGACGAGTGTAACTGTGCTTGCTACCGCGTGTTCATCAAACCAACAGCTGTCCAACCCAGAAACTAACCCAATCCTTACGTACTCCCTTTCCCCATTGTTTGTGGGCTGCAGTAAAAGCGCGTCAAGATTGCCATCTTGTTCAGACCCCTTGTATAAACCGAAACAGATCACCGACTTCCATGCGATCTTATCTTGCAGCTCCTCATAGGTCAAAACACCATCAACGGGCGGGCATGGATCGAGAATGTCGAATCTGAATCCCGAGTCGAGATTTACGACAGCCCGTCTCGTGTAGCCGTCAGCTCCACATGTCGTTAACCGCATAACCATGTGATCGCCACGTACTACCCAGCCGCTGAGGCAAAGATATGCATACAGAACTGGTCCGTAAGGATTTGATGTGGCTGGCTGGACTTGGAAACTTTCCAAAGCACATATATATCGTGCTTTAGTGTAACGTCCTCCGGAATCTACACTGTGCACGTGTGAGCTCCACGAGAACGTGGGTCCCAGAATATCAACATTCACGGGGTATTTCCAACGTCTTGTAGCGGGACTTGTGTTAACATACCATCCCAGTTGATACACGATGCCATGTTGCCAAAGTCCCGCGATGTACTTTCCGGGCCACAACCGCTCCATGCATGCTGCCACCCCGGAGAGCGCGGGTAGTGAATCTTGTCCGTAAGTGAGTTGCATCTTGCTGTAGTCATACACTATCTCCATCCATTCCGACGCGAAACTTTCTGTCATCTCTGGGGCAGCTCGCAGGTCCGCAAACGTCCTATATGAACTGCTAATGCCCCGCGTCGTCGATTCCTTGTTGGCCGCGCCACACTCGCATTCTCGCGCATGCGCGCACTCAAAAAGGATCTCATCTGGCAGGAAATGGACCACTCGACGAGCCAGAAATCTCTCTTGCATGCACCAACCCCGTTGGAACAGCGTGTATTCGTGCTTCGTTAGGTAGCGATGGCAGTCGTGGCTTTCAATGAGTCTTGCACGCACTTCACGGCCCTGCAGGCCATTTCGTGCGTATTCCATGACTAGAGGCTCCAATCTTTCGTGCAAAAACCCATCCTTGGAGTCCTCAGTCGCTGTGGCTGACAAGACTACATACGCGTTTGCGTAGATATCTGCCATAAGGGATGCCTCTTTCGCCCATTCTTCATCATCGTCTTGTACAATGCAAATCCGATCAATCCATATGTATTCCAGACCGAGTCCTCTAGCAACCTGAATGGCGTCTTGGAGAGTCTTTGGGAACTCTGAAGTCATCAGCTTCATGAACCGTGCTTGAACGTTTTCCTTCGTCGTCTCGGACTGCTTGCCTGGTCCCCAACGGTAGGAAAGCGCAGCAAATTTCACTGAGGATTCTGGTGAGCAGAGTCTATAAGATTTCCCGTCATGGCCACCAATGTCAATCAAGCGTGTAGGCCTAGACTCGTGTTTGGGTGAAGCATGCTGATGGGTATTGTCGCAACGATTCATCCACTCCTTCATGACACTCATCGAGGCTATCGAGTCCGCAGACTCGCAAACATCTTTCGCGCATCTGAAAGGGC